GCTTCATCATATTTGAGAATACTCTCATCCTAAAAAAAAAAAAAATACCAAATTCCTGAGATGTTGCTTTAAAATTTCTTCTTTACCCACCTATTCTCTTGAGTTTCCTCCTATCCACAGTTTTACAGCCATTTGATGATTTTACAGTTGCTGCCAAAACCAGCAGTGTCCTGTCTCTCAGCTGGAAATCTTTACCAAGGGTATCTTCAGTGTACCCTTATGGTAAGGACTGGGGTTTTCATACGGTCATGTCTGATTGTCCTAAACTCCTTTCTGTCATTCAGCTCTTGCAATTCCTCACTATCCCAAGACCCAAATTCAGAGGGGAAAAGCAGACAGAAAACCCAAGGTTTTCTGCAAGGCAACAGAAATGCCCTCTAGAAAACTGACCAAATGTCTTTCTTACTAACGGAATTTGGGTCCTCCTAGCAAAAGTCATCTAAAGCGTTTCTTGAGTTTGCCAAAACATCATTATAAACATGCTTTTTAAAATGGGAGAGAGACAAAGGCATCCAGACAGCTGGTGGGATTTGTTTTGTGAGTCTTGGGTTCATCATTCGTTACTAGGTTTCTCTGATGCAGAGATTTTTTACTCTCTTCTTCATTATATAAATGGTTGGGAATCACAGGGAAGACTCTTCTAGCTGGAAATATCAGAAAGACATTTCTGTTCCTTCTCTTTACAGGTGAGTAGTACTGATGGTTGAAATGGTCACACCAACCCTTTTTAGCCTGCCTGCGCCTATGCATGGTTATTAGGATGTTTCAGAGACCTTTTCAGGGAAGACATTTCAGATTGAGTTACTGTCTTTGCCTTGTCCTCTCTGGCTGCAAGCAGGGGTTCAGGGAGGTTGGCAGCCCCATGCCAGCGGGAGATGAGTTCTGATACACAGAGGTGACTCCTTCACCTTGATCCTGGCTTTGGGAACAGTCTGAAAAGGGTTGTGATGAAAGGTGTCCAGGCAGGTCACCATTGATGGGAAATCGTGCAGTCTTCTCCACAGGGTTATTAAATGTAAAACAGTTAAAACACTGGTACAGGTTTCCCAGAGAAGCCATGGCTATCCCATACCTGGCAGTGTTCAAGGGCAGGTTGGATGGAGCTTGGAGCAACCTGTTCTAGTGGCGGGTATCCCTGCCCATGGCAGGGTGTTGGAACTAGATGAGCTTTAAGGTCCCTTCCAACCCAAACCATTCTATGATTCTCTAAAAAACTCTGGTTATGTCTGCAGACGTAATAAGGAAACTAAATTTACCAGCAAATGATAAAAAATAAGTTAGATTATTTTAAGAGATGAGTCTTGCTATTATTCACAAAGAAAAGGTATAAAATGCACACCAAAGTGATGATTTTTGTAAATCCATGAACAAGCAGGCAGTAAATTTTAAGCTACATTTTGAGATACCTGCAATATTACATGGGGTTTTTTCCCCATTAATTAAATTGCAAAGCTTTTTAATAAAAAAAAAACTAACTTTTTAAACACATGTGAGAACATATGTAAGAAAAGTGTCAGGAAAAAAAAAAAAAAAAGCTACTTCGCAAGAACAGGTACCAAAAGTGTCCAAAAAGCTTGGATTTTCAGTTAGAACTGGCAGGACCCTGCCTTTATTCGAGAGCCAGCAGCAGAGGGCGCTAAGATAAACATATTGATTTCAAACTCTAGCCAACAGTAAGGATTTGCTAGGTATAGGGGGATATAGACTTCATTACAGAGATCTAGGTTGGATTTACAAGGTAAAGCAGGCGTTAAAAGTCCATTTCTAAATCAGGATCTTGACTAGGTGCCGGCAAAGCTTAAAATAAAATAAAAATCTTGAAATCATCATATGAAGCTAGAGGATAACTTGTTGAATTAAGATTAATGTTGGGATTATTTTTTGGTTAATCTCTCACCAAAATGGCCATCACGATGTTGCAGCTCCTCTATTAACAGGACTGTTAATAGACATTTGGTTTAGATTATTTGGATAACTGCATTTAAAAGTGTGGGATAAAAGATGGATTCTAATTATAAGGTTCAAACACTGTTAAGAAAAAAACAGTGTACATAACAACCTGAAACTGTATCCTAACGGAGGAAGCACTGATAAACAGCATAATTTCTAGTAAAGGAAGCGTTTGGTTGCTTGTAACTCCCAAATACAGGTACAGCCGGGTGTGAGGGGGAGGCAGGAGCTTAGGGAAGGGAGCTGCTGCCGGGATGGAGCCCCATGAGAGGGCGCCGCTGCCCCGCTCAACGCCGCTCGGAGCCCAGCGCCCGGAGAGCACAGCCTCCGTCGCCGAAGCGTAGGGGGGGGGAGGTGGATTTCCTCTAGCATAGGCAAGGCTGTATGGAGAAGTGTCCTTAAAAAAAACACCCAAAAAAATAAAAAGTATAAAATATTCCCTTACTGCCAGGCTGAGGCTGTGGTGCCGCTGCCCAGATCCCCGCTGGAAAGCCAGGGTCTTTGGTTGGAAGAGATTGTAAAAGCAAGCCCCAAAACTGCTGGGAAATGGGTGAATTCCCCCCCCCCCCCCCCCCTTTTTTTTTTTTTTTTTTTGTGGTTTGGTTTGGTTTTAGTTTTTTAAAGTAGCGCTTGCAACGGTCAAAAGATCAGTTCTGAGTAGTATTGCATTTTGCATCCAGGGTTTATTGTGCATTGCAGGTATAAACTGGTGTTAATCTTCCCGTTTGAAATTGGGTTTAAGGAATCTGCGGGGGTGGGGGGTGCAAAACAAACACAAAAAATGCGAAGAATCTTTGTTGTAAATGATCACTCGAGACACGTTTGTCATGTTTCGTGAAAGGAATGTAATACTAGTGGGATTTGAAAGTAAGAATTTATTGTCCATACCATTCTGCTACCAAAGAGCCAGGGGTCAGCAAGTCTATTTTTGGTTTCTTCTTTTTCCTCCCCTGCTCACCCCTCCCCCAGCACGTAGACCATATTTAATTCAGGGTGCCACTAAATTATAAAGCATTAGCTGTCACGGAGCACATTAACGCTGCCCTGTGCCAGCCTTCAAGGCCGTGACTCAAAGACTTTAACCAAAGTGATAGCAAACTGTCCCTGGTGTTTTTCTAAGAGGGTCATTCAGATCTAGAGGTGCGTGAGGGAGGGGAGGGAGGTAGCTGCATGGGTATCTCCCGCACATCCGCATGCAAACAGCATACGTTCTTTCTCCTTTTTCAGGATTTGGTTGAAATTATCTGTCCAACCCACTCCAAAGATGTACCCTTTTCTCCTCCTCCTCTTCCTCCAGGCAGCGGTGGCTGTGCTGTGAAAAAACTCGCCTCTGCTTTAACAGCTCTCAGCAGCACCAGTGTCCAGCTCTTGTTCTAATACCTGGCTGATACTTGGTTCTTGCCTTTTGGGGTTCGAGTTTTCAGAAGAAGATGTACCCTTGGAAATGAGGGGGGTGGGATGCTGTAGAGGTTGAGAGAAAAGGGGATGAATTTATACTTTCTGCTTTAACTTAAGGATAAAGCAAACAGAAAAAGAAAAGCCCACCCATCCCACCAGCCAACCAAAGACAGCCAGAAGTGTCTCTTGATTAAGTTCGCTTCGTTTTCGAGGTTACATATATATATATATATATATAAGTGTCTTTACTTATAGGACCTTTGAAAGTACAAAAGACATTATGCACTTTCCCATAGGATCCCATGCAGGATAACAAAGATGTGTAGGAACCCTATAGATAGAGCTTGAAATTTCCGGTGACAGGACCTTGAATTTAGAAATACCTTCTTGTTCTCTGCCTTTCTGTCTGTGTCTTTCTTTCCTCCCCATCCACACCCCACACCCCCACTTCCCACACACGCACACACCCGGTGCATCAGCCCATTGCAAAGCTCAATTGTAATTGTTTCCTTTCAAAGGCAGAGATGGGTTCTGCTTGCTTGCAGAATAGGTCGCCTCTTTGCTGTATAACGTGTTTAAAAAAAAAAAAAAAAAAAGAGGACAATACAAAGGAAGGTTAGCCTGAGGAAAGAGATAAAAAAAAAAAAAAAAAAAAAAAGGTTAAAAACGGTCCAACTCCTCCTCTCCCCTTCCAAACGAAGGGCTACCCGGGAACCGCACAAATATCCATCCAACTCTGGTTTTAATCGTGTTCAGAAAGTAGCTAATCGCTATTCAAATGCGTGCGGAGAAGGGTTTGCTAAACTCCTCTTTTTTCCTTCTTTTTTTTTTTTTTTTTCTCCCAGAGAAAGTGTTCCAAGTTATAAAATATACAGTCCAAATCTGAAGTGTAAGACTTTCAAATTGAAATCATTGATAAATTTACTCCCTTTATATGTGCCTGAATGTGCTTGATGAGACGCTGCTTTGGTGTTTTACTGCATATGGGAGGATAATTTCTGGACATGTAAATAAAAGCATATTGCATGTGGTGAAAAGCATAAGACCTCATTGTAGATGATGAATCGCCTAGTACAGAAGCAACTTATTCTTTATTTTAATATAAATAGGATCGAGAAAATATTCCTTAATTTGTCCATTCTATCTATCTATCTATCTACTCATCCATATACTAAAATAGCGGATATATGCACTATATAATTTGTATATTTGATCACTGTGCATCCACATATATATGGTAAATGTATAAATATATGAGCAAACATGTATTTATATACCCTTTTATATAAATTGATCAGGCTTGTATGTACACATGCATATGTAATGTGTAGAATATATGTGTCTACATATGTAGGAATATAGAGAATTTACATATATAAATGTGTCAATTTATATTTGTCTGTACACGGGAAAAGTTATGTTTTCGGTGGTATATGTGTGTATGTGTGTGTAAATGTATGTCTGCGTATTTGCAACTGTGTACATTTATACATCTTGATATGCCTACATAGAAGTCTAAGTCTCTATATGTGTATATGCATATATCTAGTCACATATATGTCTGTAGATATATGTAACGATGTAATAGATAATGTTCTTTACTATCCGATTGAGCTAGAGTTCTGCAGCCTATTGTTTCAGACAACACATATAAGTTGCGATGGAAGAGGAACGTCGGATTTGGTGTCTGTCCCCCATTTCCAATTATAGATGGATCATTACAGACAGAGAAGTACTGAGAATCCAGACATCTGCTCTTCACATGAATGCACTCACCTCCTAGAGAACAGCCTGCCATCATGCTCTGGAAACTGGTTGAAAATGTCAAGTATGAAGATATCTATGAGGTGAGTATATGATACGCATATGAGTAAGAGAGCATATGTATATTTAAATATATATAGTATATAGATACAGGCATGTCTATATAATACACGTATAGCTCTACATATACATACAGGCAGAAATAGGGACGCATACACCAACACACACAAGTATAGAGACGGGAAACCAAGAGTAAATGCTTAAATGTTTATTTATTTGCATCTTTGTATTCAGCATGCCAAGTCTTAAACTTTTTTTTCATGGAAAAGCTGTTTGATGCGATTTAAAACATCAAAGAAATGATCCGGGGGTTGGGATGAGGCAATTTATAGGCAAGAGTTTGGTTGTTTATACCTCCAATTAAATATAATTCGATTAAATATGGACATATGTCTAGGAAAAAAAAGCTGAAAATAGAAGAGAAGCACAATCTGGTGTTCAGGGACCGGATACATTTCTTTCTTTTCTTTCTTTCTTTAATTTTTTAATTTTGCAATTCCAAGCTGGGCTAAAATTGAGTTATGATTTTTTTTCTTTTTCTTCTTTTCACAATCGGATACGTCTTTTACGACTTTTTATACGTGTATACCAATAGCTAAGATGTGCATGGGTACATACACTCGCATTCATTAGGTGGCACATACATTCTTTCACGTCTGTGAGTACGCGTACCCGAACTGATACATTCAAAGGCAGCTCTGCATAGTCCGCGGACATAAAAAGTTGTGTGCTTTAGTCAGACTTCTTCGCTATTTTCGAGGCCAAATAGCAGAGCAAAGGAGGTGGGGGTTGGGGGTGGAGGGGCGAAATCACAGCGCAAACACCGCGAAACCTCTCTTAATTTTGCACAGTTTCCTGAGCCGGATCTTTTCCAAACGGGCTCCGCGAATGCATTTCTTGTAAGTTAACCAGCGGGCTGGATTTGCTCCGAAGCTGGGGAAAAGACGTGTAAGGGAAGGCGCTCCGCAAAATTATATTTTAATATTTTTTGATTTCCTTTATTTTTAATTTTGTTTTTAATCTGGCAGAGGCATTTGCACGGCGATCGCGGGGGGGGTGGGGGGGGGTTGATGGTGAAGATTTTCAGAAGGGCGCAATCCGCCAGCTCCAGCGCGGAGGCTGCTCCGTGGGGAGGTGGCCGGGCAAGGACCGGGGACAGGGCAGAGGCCAGATTCCGGGCAGAGACCGGCTACTGGGTAGAGGCAGGGCGGGGACCGAGGACAGGGCAGTAGCAGGGACCCAGTAGGGCCAGAGCCAGTTACTAGGCTGCGGACTGGGCAAGGCTCGGTACCCGGCAGGGGACGGGGACTTGGCAGGCTGGAAGCCGGATACTGGGCTGGGCGTCGGGCAAGAATAGTGGATCAGGCAGGAGCCGGGGACAGGGAAGCGGTCAGTTACAAGGCTGGGTACCTTGAAGGGGCCGGGCAGGAGCCGAGGACTGGGCACGAGCCAGGGGCGGGGCAGAGCAGCGGCCGGGGGCCGGGGACCTGCGGGGAGTACGCCCGGGATAGCGCCGTCGGGACCCCGCCGGCCCCAGCTCGTAGCTCCGCCGCAGCTCTCCCATCCGGGAGCTCGCTCACACTTACAGCGGGGAAACTCACGGGCAAAGCAGAGAAGGCGGCAGAGGGAGGGCATGGCTCCCACAGCAGCAGCCAGGGAGGGAGGACGGGACGGAGGGGAGAGGGAGAGCGGCAGCCTGCGCAACCGGAGAAACGTTTCCATTCCCAAAAGCTGCCGTCAGGCTGTCAATTGACAAACCCCAGTTTGCCAGAATGAGCACAGCCCGGCATGTGTATTTCTGCCCGTGTGTGTGTGCGTGTGTCCGTCCCGCCGGCAATCGCAGTCCACTGAGCCCTCGCTTCTTTTCCCTCTCCATCTCCCGGCACAGCCCGGCCATTGTCTCTGCCTGCCCACAGCACCAAGCGACAAAACATCTCCCCTTCCCTGCTTCGCGGGGTTTTATTTCCCACCCTCCTTTGGAAGGGGATTTTGAAGCCGTTGTGCATTTTACGGACACTCTTATTTCTAGACTGCCGTGGAAGAGAAGCTGAGTTGGGGAGCTCTTGGTTGGGATTTGGCTGTGGGCAGGGTATACCTGGACTTGGAGTGCGCCCTAAGACACTTTTGTAACGCGTAGCTTTAAAAAATAAAGACAAAATATTGTTACTATTTTATTTTATTTTTAGAGCTGAAGTCCTCTAGGTCTATCTTTTTTAAAGAAAAAACGTTTCTTTTCTTTCCCATTAAATTCTTGCTTTCTTTTTACAATTTATAATTAACGTAGGGGAGTCTCAGCTGCTTAAACTGACTCTGTTCTTAAAACAGAAGTGTGTGTGTGTGTGTGTGTGTGTGTGTGTGTGTGTGAGCAGCGGGGGGGGGGGGGGGGTGCTCTGGGAAGTGCGAGTCTATTTAGGAAGGAACGTAAAGTTGAACTTTAACAGAAATGGCAGACAGTCCAGTTGAACGGGTTCCTGCAACACCAAAAAGGTTTGATATCGCCTCTGGCTTTGCCTCACAACTATAAATTTACCATCCTTTAAAAATCACTGCAAACATTTCACATTTGGCTGAAAATGTGGACGTATACGTGCATATATTTTTATTTATTTTTCGTATCGGGAAGGGAGGAACAGGATTCAGAAAGAAGTGAAGCCCAACTTAGTGCAGATTAATTTATTTATTTGGCTATTGTGAATAAATACGACCTGTAACATGCACCAGAAGGGCTTTATCTTAGCTGTAGACATATGTTATAGAGACTGCACACTTCTTCCATTTCTTTGAAAAAACAAGGAAAGTGAAGGTTTGGAAAAGCCTGGCTCTCCTCGTTATTTGTTTAAAAAGAAAAAAAAACACCAAACCCACAAACAAAAAAAAAAAAACAAATTTACAAGAACAAAAGCATCGAAGGCAAACAATTCCTCGTATTAGGAATGTATAATTAAATGTAAAAAAAAAGTAAAAGAAAATATGGGGGTTTTCTTATTTTTTCTTCGCCTCTAGCATTGTTTCCTCTCACTTCCCCGCTCCAGCCCACCAGTTCCTACTTTCCGCATCTTCCTCCTCTCGAGTTCATTGAAGTTATGCCTCTTTCTTGCTAAACTTTTTCCCCCCTCTCCCTCTCCCCAACCCCTGCTTCTGCCAGCCCCCCTCGTCTGATTACATCTAGTAATTCTCCACTGAATGAACGTCATTTACAATAGTAGGGGAGCTCTCGAGCTGGCTGCCAGCTTCACGCTCCATTTGGTCCTGCATTCTCCCTTTAAAGTAGTCGTGTAATATTAATAGTCATGAATATCAATTATTATGAGGCGGTGTAGAGAAGGAAAGGGAGGAAGGGGTAGCGGAGCAGTCTGAGCCTAGCCTTGGGTTGAAGAGGATTGTATTTGGGAGCTCAAAGGGGAAAAAAAGAGGGGGGGGGGAAACCCCAAAGAGGGAGGGGTAAATCATATATGCAGATAGAGGTTTCCAGGCTCGGTCTGGGGGGGGCATTGATCCTTTTTTTTTTCTTTTTTTTTCTTTTTTTTTTTTTTGATGGATAGACTTCGAAGTATCTCAAGCTGTTCTCCTGTGTCCAACACGGCCCTTTGCAGATCTCCTTGATATTTTTTCCCCCCTTCAATTATTAGCACTACTACCATTATTTTCTTTTTAGCTATTACAAGACTTTTTTTATTTCCAGATGTTAGTCCACACCTATTCCGCCATGGTGAGTTTGGATCCATGTTGTACTAGAATTGCATGTTCTCTCTCTCGATCTGTTGTCTCTCTCCCTCTCTCTCTCTTTTTAAACGCCTTTGGCTTGGTAATTTAGCACAATAATTGGAGGAGGCTTGCAGCTGCTTCTCCGTTTTTGCATTGTGTGTTCTCGATTTGAGCAAGCGGAGTCTGGGGGGGGAGAGCAGGGAAAAAAAAACACAACTTTTTTATTCCTGTTTTTTTTTTTTTTTCCTAGAGATGTGTGCCATTGCTTGTGGGGGTTTGAGCTACACTTTGTGGAATAGATATTTTTCTTGTTTACTTTTAGCCTCGCAGCTTCAGCTCTATGGAGTTGAAAAAAACTCTTCTCCCACCTTTTCTCCGAAGCCTCCACACCCCACCAACCCCCACTTCCCAGCCCCCCACACACCCCAAAGACTTTTCATTACAATTGACCCCCACCCCATTTTCCGGAATATAATATTGGGAAAGGAGACAAAAGACATTGGAAATAGCTGGAGAAATCAGAAATCACAGCGACTGGATTTGTTCAATGCCGATGTTTCTTTTTTAATTTTTTTAATGATTTTTTTTTTTAAGGAGTGGACTCTATATAAAAAGCCCCCATGATTTTTTTTATTTTTTTTTTTTCCCAAGTGTTTTTTCGCACAACTTCTTTCCCCGGAGTCCTCCGAGAAGTGCAGCTTTCTTTTTGGTCTTTTCCAAGTGAAGATGGGTTGGTGATTTTGAGTTTCAGGACTTCAGCAGTGGGGACAAACAGATGTTTGGAAACTTTAGGCAGGACAAGGGGTGGGCTGTTTGGAAGGATGGGTGGTTTGGGGTTCTCAATATTCTTAATTTATTTTTAAAATTTGGGTTTTATTTGAGGAGATACTGGAGGGGGAATCATATTACTGGACTGAAGTCACTAATCATAACTGCATATGGAACACTCGTTCTACATTTTTAATTACGACATTTAGTATTTCTCCCTCAGACAGATCCCCCTTCCCCCTCCTTGATACTTACTGGGAACAGATACGGTCTGGGTGGGAAATGCTGGGACACTCCTAATCCTTGGCAGAGGAAAGAAGGGACATACCTGAAACCTGGTTTACAGCTGGTTGTATTTATAATTTGTTTTATTTTGGGGTGGGATTGTGCTTCTTTTACTTTTTTTTTATATTATTATTTTTTAAAAGTCCTCTCTTTTGTGTTGCTTTTATTTCATTCTGCTCGTAGGACCGGCATGATGGAGTGCCCAGCCACAGTTCCAGGTTGTCCCAGCTGGGATCCGTCTCCCAGGGACCCTACTCCAGCGCTCCTCCACTCTCTCACACCCCATCCTCGGATTTCCAGCCGCCTTACTTCCCACCCCCCTACCAGCCTCTTCCTTACCACCAAAGCCAGGACCCTTACTCCCATGTCAATGACCCCTACTCCCTAAACTCCCTGCATCAACCCCAGCAGCATCCCTGGGGCCAGAGGCAGAGGCAAGACGTGGGATCGGAGACAGGGTCACTGCTGCCGCAGCCTCGGGCCGCCCTGCCCCAGCTCTCAGGCCTGGATCCCAGGCGGGACTACCACTCCGTGAGGAGGCCAGATGTCCTGCTCCACTCAGCTCACCATGGCCTTGACTCCGGGATGGGGGACAGCCTTGCCCTGCACGGCATCGGGCACCCAGGGATGGAGGAGGTCCAGGTAAGGCTCCGCGTTGCGTTCTCCTGGGCCATGCAGATGCCTCCCAGGCTAGAGCCCCCATCTCTCGGCTATAAATCATCAACGAGGGGCTTACAGGGATACCGGTGCAGGCTGCCATCCTTTTTCCTTGCTGGGGTTATAATCCAGCTACTCCCCGTCCTTCACCTTCTTTTTATTATTATTATTAAGTATTAGTATTATAGAGAGAGAATTTATTTCACTGTTATCACGCACTTGCTCTGCTTTGCAAACTAAACCTTACCCTGCAAACAGAGTGCAGGGGAAGGCAGACATACTTTAAATATTCCACGTGTTTCAGAAGCTGGCAAAGTTTAAACCTGGCTTTTCAAATTCAGGTTATTTTCCATGCAATATCAGTTTACCCTCACCCTTAACCACCCCAACTAATTTCCTGCCGTTCAAGGATTTTGATGAAACTGTCCAATTACTACATTTTTCATCCGGGAGGGAAAATATAAACAAAATCCAAACTAAAAGCAATAACCGGTCATCAGGAACAAGACTTGAAACACTCACTCTCCACACCCACCCCCCCTCTTTTTTTTTTAAGCATAATTGGTAGGGTAGCGCTGATTTTAAATAGTTTGATTCCCTCTTTTGGGTAACAAAAGTTTAAGCGGACTTAAAGCACAGTATTTCTCAGCCATCTTCCATCCCACGCGAAACTCATCAGCACATGTTATTTCCTAAAAAAAAAAAAACAAACTTAATATATATATATATATATATATATATATATATATATATATATACAACCCCAAACAGACCCACAAAGGCCCTTAACAGCTTCGATACTAGTAGGTGGGGGGAAGGGTTTGCACCTTGGTGGAGCAGGGTATGGCCAAAGAGGGGAATTCCGAGCCGGAGGAACTCAGGGGCCAGTTCCTGTGTTAGGCTTTGCTAGTAGGGATCTGGGGGTTCGCCTCCATTCTTCACCTTCCTCTTCCCCAAATTTAGGTATCATATATATGCATATATACACTTGGGATAAACAAACGCTGGATGAGATACGAACTTCAAAGTTAGAGAAACGGGAAAAGAAAGGGGGAAAGAAAGGAGAAAAGAGGAGTCTGAGAAGGTAAAACCAGCCGTGAAAAGGATCCTGCTGAACATGACAAGGACAGCAGGAGAGGGGTGGCTAGTTGCATTGGCTTGAACACGGTTTTAGGACTTCAGGGGAAAATCTCTGCTATTTGCTGGGGCGAAGTGCTTTAGAAATAGAAAGATTTCGGCTTTGCTTCTGTCTCCGAGCTCGTCAAGTCGCTGGTTTCTGCGGGTTTCCAGGCGGGTTTTGAGAGCAGAGGGCATCCCCCCCTCCCTGGGGCTCGGCTTCCAACCTCGGCTCAGCCAAACCGCCTTGGGGGTCAAGTCGAGCTTTACCTCTGTGAACATGTCTATCTTTCTCTGGGTAGATGTTAAGTACTGTTTGTGCTTTCGTATTTACACTTTCCCCAAAGAAAAGATGGTGATTGTTGTGCTCTTGTGAGAAAGAAAGAGATGAGAGGAAAGGGAGAAGAGGTAAAAAATATAAAAGGTGGAAGAAACGAAACGAGAGAGAAAGAGGGGGAAAAGAGAAGGGGGAGGAAAAGACAGAAAGAAGCAAGGGGGAGAGAGGGGGAAAGGGGAAAAGGTGGGGAGAGACAGGGAAAGAAAGAAAGGGACAGAGACAGTGAGAAAAGAGAGAGAAGAGACAAAGGGTGGGGGAGCGGAAGAGATAAAGAGGAAAAACAAGAGAGAAATATAAAACATGGAGAGAGAGGAAGGGGATGAGAGAGACACCGAGAGACAGAGAGAAAGCAAAAAAGAGAGAAGGTCCTACTCAGCTCAAATAAAATAGCTATCCTTCCCTTTTCCAGTAAAACATTCCCGCTACGGGCAGGGCTCAGCACTCGTGGAAAGTGCCTCCCCCGGCCCCCGCCAGCCCAGGCAGGTGATCAGCCTGGGATCGGTGTGAAAAAGGGGTGGAATGAGGATAGGGATGGGACTGGGCCGGGGCAGACGTGGCCGTGGGCCAGCAGGCATGGGGTTCTTGTTTTGGGGTTCTGAGGCTGCTGGAAATCAAACAGGCCCTTTATTTCTGAAAGTTTGGTCTCAGGCCGGGGGAGGAGGGGAAGAGGAGAGGAGAGGAGGGTGTCCCAAGGAGAAACACGTGAAGGAAGAAGTGTCCAACTACAAGTTAGCACAGGCAGGAGGGAAAGCAGCCTGGTACTCGTTCCTACCATTCAGCTCTTTCTATTCTTGTCTCCTAGTGGCAGATGAACCTGGGCAGTTTTCCAGCCTGATTTTTAATATGGATTTATTGTAGAGACAAGGAATCCGTTCTAGGGATTTTAAATATGAATCTACAGGGATTCCTGTTCAGGCGATATTTACTTATTTTCCACGAACACTAGAGAGAATTTCCAAGAAGGGTCTCAAATAGCTATTTGGTTTAGTTTTGTGGTGGTTTTTTTTCTTTTAAGTAGTCCAAAAAGTTGAACCGATATCTAGGTATATAGTTGGATAAAGATGTGTCTCTTTGCTTTAGCTTATAAGTGTCTGATCAAATACATGCCATGGGAATGGGCTGGGCTGACAAGGGAGCATGAAACAGAAAGAAAGGCAGTGCGTGACAGAAAGAAACAGTGGTTATTTTACAAAAGCCAAACTCAGGCCATGTGTGAGCCATTGTCCAGAGCTGGAATTAAGTGATTGTAACATGATAGCGCTCTGTTATTGTAAACAGGACGTATTGTAATGCTATTGCTGCTCCTTCCGACGGGCATTTTCAAACTGCAAGTTACAGCCCTCTCATAGGGAACAGAGAAGCCAAAACCTAGCCATTGAAAACAAATTTGCGTCATCTAAAAGGGACTCTGACAACAAACAACCCCCAAACGCTGCAACTTCAGATATTCTCACACACACCAGCTAAGCAGAAGAAAGATTATACTAGTAAGAGATACAATAAAGAAAATATGGAGGGGATATTCAGGCTCTTTAAAGGGAAACAAGAAGATTTTTTTTTTTCTCTGATATATTCTTTGCTGTTGAATAACGGGGATATATATGGCATTTAGGAAGCTCTGTGCTATCAGATTATTGGAGGAAGGAAGGGAGGGGATCTTCCCCTCGAGATTTTCCAAATCTATCTGGAAACTCATCACCTTTCCCCTCCCCACACACACCTTCACTCCTCCTCCCTCACACTGCCGCCCCTGTTTCTACGTGCTAGCTAGAGAAACGGAGAGCTAAGTTGCGCCAAAACACCGAAGTCTCTTATAAAGTAACCCCTGGTATCACTTTTAACTAAAGAAGTCTAGTAATTAAAAGTCTGAGTTGTTTTTCCACGTTTCCGCATGCAGTCCTAATTAAATCTTTACGATCCTCTCTGTGACTATTAACTGCCAGCATGCTGAGCGAATATCCTGTACAAAAACCCAGCAGGAGGGCGTAATTAGATAGAAAATCAGACAGGAGTCTTCTCATTAACTACAACAACTAACCCACGTTGCTGATGGAGCGAGCCGAGCGCACGCACAGGCATAAAGCGTGGGCACAACCATCTACTCCAGAGATAAGGTGAGATAAGGAGTTAAAAAAAAAATAAAAAAAAATAAAAAAAGGGAAGGAAAGATGTTGTTTCATATTTACCTCCAATTCTGTGCCGTGGAGGTGCACCGTGATGCACGGTTTGCTCATCATCCCTCTTTGGGAACTGTTCAGGGAAAGGAAGGAAGACTGTAATTTTATTTTGTGCCCTTTAGGTATGTAGCCTATTGATTATGAGAGAAAGACACAGCCATGCACAAACACACAACAGAAGGAACCGCTCTGTGTGTGCGCACCCGCTTGAGTGTGTATGCAAGGAAAATGAAAGGAAAAATCTCATAGAAAATATTGTTCCGTCACATTTTAGGGGAGATGCAATTTTGTCCTAAATCATATTCCGTCTTAAATATCTGCTAATCAGAGAGAGCTGGAGATAAGGGCTTGATCCGGATAATCTCAGCCTCTCGTGGTAGCAAAGATAGTTAAAATAATAGCGAAGAAAATAATGGCTTTTCTGTGAAAATGTTTTCTTTATCAGGAAAAAAAACAAAAACAAATGACAACTCCCCAGATATGCAATAACTTGGGAAAAAGAAAAAAAAAAGCCCTCAAACCTTAAATAGTAATAAAGAAAATAAAATAAACCCAAGAAACCCTTTCTCGAATGCCCAGAATTTACCCTAAAACGGAACGTGCCATAACCCTGCAATAAATGGCTCTGATGACACCTCTTTAGGAGATTTTTTTTTTTTTCTGTACCTACAGCAGATCCAGCGGTAATTTTGGTTTGTTTATTTGTTGTTGAGTGGGTTTTTTTGGTGGTGTTTTTGTTTGGTTTGTTGTTTGTTTTTTTTTGTGTGTGTGTGTATCCCACGTTGGTGTTGAGAAATGAAACCCAACATTTTCTGTGTCCTCTGGGCCCTTCTTTGTTCTCTTCCCGGCTAAAGAAGTTAATGCCGTAATAACAGGTGTGCTCTTATACGGGCTGAAAAGAAAGGGGAAAGAAAGGGCGGGGGGGGAGGGGGGCCGAGATGGTGTGAAGGGGGATGGGGTGGAGGAAAGGCTTGGAAAAGAGATAGGGAGACTTTTTCTAGGCAATTTCATAGTTCCTTCTTTTTCCTTCTTTTGATAATGTATATTCCTCCTCACCTCTCCCCATTAATTCAGGAGCTGGAAATCTTCTGCTCCTGCCCCGGACCATGGGGCCGGATGGCTCCGGCTTTAATTAAAAGTCCATAATATAAACTATTGTATATAAAAAGTAAATGGCCCTCGAATTATTAAGATGTAACAAGGTTAAACAAACAAAGCACACACACACACATAAAAAAAAAGTTGGGGGGGAGGAGGGAGGAAAGGAGAGGGAAATTTTAAGTTGTCCTTAATCGTGTTCATTTCTGTCATGCGATGGATCTTGCAGACGTTGCCGAATTGCCAGGTTTTCAAAGGAAGAAATATAAAGCTTAGCCGAATGCAAGGAAGTCTATGTGATTTCTGTGTTTTATAAGATAACAAACCCAGTATTGCATCTCATGTGCTTCACACCTTATTATTATTATTAATTATACATACTATATTATACTATATAATTTGTAAGAATTTTATTTCCTTTTCGATTTGGAGGAATGATGATAACAATAAGAATGATTAAGAAATCCCTCCTCCCCCAGTGAATTAATATAAATGGAAATAACAGAAACTTCAGTTTGGAATGACATGATTTATGTACGTGATTCTTTAATATACAGTCAATTTGAATAGTGATGTTTTTATATCCACAGTCAGTTGAAGATGCCAATAACAGCGGTATGAACTTATTGGACCAGTCTGTCATTAAAAAAGGTATGGATTATTCCAACAGGCTAGACGAACTTGTACTTTGTAGCAAAATCTTCAGGCTATCTTTTTACTTTGGGACAATTAATTTATCCAGGATGTAGGTATAGATGGCAGCAAGGTGTATAGTTGGTTGTATCGGCAGATAGAGTGAAGGGGAAAGGGAAGATCTGTGAAAGAAAAAGTTTATATTCCCACCTTCCCCCTCCTTAAAGGGTTTAATTACCCAAATGTCCCTAACGGAGCACCCCATGTTCAAATGCAGTTTCGGCGTGGGGGGTGGGGGGGTGCTTATCTTTTAACGGGAAAAGAAGGCTGATTCCCTTTGGGGTTGAAATGTATTTCCCAGGCCAATCAAAAATGAAGGGGAGAAAAAGAAATACTTACGGAAAAACAGCCTCGACCTTCTTTCCCCCTTCTTCCAAGAATCCCCCCCTTCCCCATGCCCATTTTGTAAATCTCCCTACATACGCGCACATGATTTAGTGTAACTGCAGAATCACCCCATACTGTTAAAGGGAATGTGATATTAACAAATGTTTGCAGTCTCGTGTACAGCTGTAAGCAAAATAATTAACTAATTAAACTAATTAAATGTAATTACAATAACTCATTTCGGGCGTATTGCAGCTGCTTAATTTTTTTACATTTCTCTGACAGTCACTCGAGGATGCTTGGCGGCTAGTGTTGTGTTATGCTGATAGACATTAAACAGATCACACGCTGCAAATGTAGGGAAAGCTATCTTTAATTATCTAAGGAGTTTCTATTTCTAAATTCAGTTTTAAGTACCAGAGATGAGCCTTAGAAATGCTGTCTCTTATGCTTACTGTCAGCAGTACTTACTTCTTACTTGTCAAATGCGCACAAATACTTTAATAGGGATGATCTTCTAAAATGTAAAGGAAAATAACAGGGAGAGTGTTTATTTAAAATGTATTTAAGGCATCATGAGGTCCTTCCTTGTATTCATTGTTTTTTTTTAATTTAAATCCTCGTGTACAGTCCCTCTCTTGCACACACACACGATCAAGGTCTGGTTATTTGAGCGAGGAAAGGTGAAAATTTGAAGAGCATTTGGTAGCATTATTTAGGACCATCGGTTGAAAAGTCGAAGGTGGTTTTGAGAAATAGAAAATTACTCACCTGTGGGTTTTAATACATATAGTGAAAAGTTGTTTCTTCTGGTTTAGTGCAGTTTGAATGTTCAGTCGGTTTTGTGCTCAGGGTCTGTAATCCGATGGCTTTTGCTTGTATTATCTTCCGCCCCCCACCCCGCTCTCCTCCTCTCTCTTTCCCTCCCCACCCCCGCTTAACACCTCATACCTACGTTTCCTCTTGGGTGTTTTTGATTAATTGGTGCTTGATTTGTGGCGGAGAGGCTCCTTCCTAGCGTTGCTCCCTTTTAGTATATTACTTTCACAATCTGTTTTTCCGCAGAACACTTTTTCTGTTCATCACCCTGGCCAAAATACTCTTTTTTTTTTAAATATATATATACATATATATATATATATAACCACTCGACCCCACTTCTGTGTCTCTCCTTCCTTCAGGGACAGCAGAGACTGAACGCGCATGCTGGGCGGTACAGTTAGATAGCGAGTAGCACTAAAATGTGAGTATTAGTAACTATATCTCTTAGGTGTAGATACAGGGGTGCTTAATGTGTATGGGCATTGCAAGAGCTCCAGGCCGAGCAGCTGCCGCATAATCCCATATAGGTGAGACTACATGCGCCTATGTGCAGCCATAAGAAGAGATACCCTGAGTTGATTCATGGTGAACAGGATAGGTATGCACTTTGGCAATGTTATGAAACAAAGATCCTGAGATCTGTTTTAAAGTCACTTTAGCAGTATTTTCTTCCTCAGATGTAATGCTGAGACTTAAGCTTCTCAGCATAAAGGAATATTGGGAGCTCAGTTGCATTTTGCGCAGGGTGTTTCGTGGGTACAGAGGAAGAGAAATGAGTAATAAATAGTAGGTCACGTTTGTGGCAGACAATATTTAATCAGGACGAGAGAAGGAGCTACACAGACAGGGTCCAGTATCGATTTCGCCTTGTTCTTGCAGTTTGTTGCTGTGATGATGTCCTTCGAAGCAAGAATAAGTTGTTGAAACTCTCCAAGCTGTTATTGCAAGCAGATGGACAGAAACGTAGAGACTGGGGCTGTGGAGCACTCCCCGTGATACAGATTTGATAGACAAGGGTTAGAGTGGGACTATTTCACCTAAACCTAAAGCACTTTAATTAAGATGTATTTGAAAAAAGTATAATGTGGACCTGATATCTGAACCATGCAGATTGTGTTTGTTTCTTCATAGCCTTGGAAGCCTGCAGAAGGAATTACCTATCTATGCAAAAGTATTGCCAAAATATTAAGGAAATTACACAGGGATTCATACGCTGCTATCGATTTATCCCGCCTATCGATCCCGCACAACAGATTATATACACCCAGCCTCTTGTTATGTTTGCTATCTGAGCTTACTTGACATTTCTGAAGTAATTTAGTTAAGAGGAAATGAGTTGCTCCCAGTAGAGAGAGCAAACGAGTGGAGTGAAGGTAGCCAGCGTGATAAATGGCTCTTTCATTTGGAGATCTCCAGAGCTCGTTTAAGGCTAATTTTCTGTATTAGCCCCCTTTGAGCTATTAATGCAATAGGCAGGGACCGTGGCCCCTCGGCTCTTAGCTGCCCCATTAGAGCGAGCATTAAGCTACCAAGCCTGAACTCTGCTGTGGTGGTGGTGGAGCAATGAAAGGTGCTTTTTAAACTCTCCTAATCTAAACTGGCAGAGGGTGGTTAATACGATTTGAAGGGGGCTGGTCAATGAACAATCAATAAACTAATAATGAGAAGGATGCGGTACATTAACAGTAAAAAAAAAAATCCAACGAGACGTTTAAAAATCATCGTTAACTCTTAGTTCCATTAAGATTTGGGTGGTGGAAGTGGGCGGGAGGGAGCCAGATAAATCATCGAGATGATAATAATCACCAAGAGCATTAATATCAGATTTAACTCGGCTTTAAGAGTTCACCAGCTGCACGTTTTGAGGCCTTTCCTTCGATCCCTGTTGAAATACAGAGAGATTTTATGTATGTCAGGAATTAAAAAGCGGGTCCTCTTGTCACCTGTTCTTTTGGGATGTCCTTTCACCGGCTATGGCCAAATAAGTTCTCCTCCTGAAAAATCCACGTGACCAGAGCCCTGAGTTAATTTTTTGTGACTCTGGGGCATAGCCAGTGACCTTAAAATTATTCTGATGTATTTATTTACTTTCAGCGGTTTCTGCCAATCGCCAGCACACACCTGATTTAGCATGAAAGACCACTTAACCCTAGCACCTTCATTCTCTGTGTCCTTGCAAACAGGCTCTGTTCTTACCATTTCTTTTAAGAAATACATGAAAGGATGTGTCTTAACCTTGAAAACCCCAAACAACCTAATAATACAGCGTGAGATTACTCCCCACTTCTTCTCGAAGCATCCAGATAAATGATTAACTGAAAACCTCTCTGGCCTCAGCTTTGTAGGTGATAGACCTGGGAATGAGAGATGTTGCTTCGCTGCCGGTTTCGTGCTTATTCCTGGATTGCCCACTGAACCTTATGATCACCTTTAGTTGAATGCAAAACAATTTTGAGGGAATACATTTCGCTCGGAAATTTAGTCCCGGTTTTCAGGGAAAAAAGGACCTCGGTGGAGGAGAAGAGAGGGGAGGTGGGAATGGAGGAGGTGAAAGGGACCGGAGGGAAAGGGACAGTAACACGCTTTCTCAAATTGTTCATTAGAATTAAAATAACAGCCGGGTCTTTTGGTGGCAGTGGGTAAGACTGTCTCCGGACTTTCTTGGTTGGCTACCAAGTCAGACCAAATCAAGCTGCAACAAAGTCCTGTTGTTATAATGGACAAAGAACTTTTTACTGATTTCAATTTGCCCAGTAGGCAGATCTAAAAAAAAAAAATAAAATAAAATCTGTTTGATAGCTCAATAGCAAAATAGCAAGAAGTTTGTCTATGACGTTTGTTAGTAAGAAATATAAGAAATATTTATTCGGATTGATTGTTTGATTGACTGACAGGTGATCATATTATTGACTGGGGTTATTGCAACGATATCCATAGAGTAGAGCCTTGTTACTCAACTATTTTCAGGGCATTATTTTATCTATTAATATTTATTTGTTCTATTTATTTTTTGCTTTTTTTTCTATTTATTTGTTTATTTTTAGTGCTCCTCAAATGCCCTTTTATTTCCATTTCCACTTCCGCGTCTGCACTGGTGCCCATTTTTTATGCTTTTGTGGAAAGCAACCCAACAGAGAATCACCATCAACAACAAAAAAAAACACCCGACCAAAACAAAAAAAAAAAACCAAACCAAAACCAAACCAAACCAAAAAACCAACCCGTAAGGCTTAATGTATGCACAGAAAATTGTAAACATGTAAAGAACTGAAAGCTTCACGCTGAGTTTCGCCATGCTCCATTTCCCCACCATTTCCTGCTGTCGTTTTAAAGCGATCTCACTCATCTAGAGATCCCGTTTGCAGGAACAGTGTGCTTATAATTACTAACAAATCAAGCGGGTATTGTTGCTCTCCCGGTTTATTGATAAGCTGAAGAGAAATGGAAGGGGGAGAAATGACAAAGAGGCTGGAAGCAACCACAGGAGGAAAAAAAAAATAAAAATAGAGAAAAGGGATAGAAAAGAAGGAGGAGAGAAAAACAGAGAGAGAAAGAAAGAAAAAGAAAAGGCAGGGATTTTGGAAAGGGGAATTATGCAATTGTGAGTGCTCACATACAGCAAATAGAGTTTGTGAGGGAAAGAAAATGTAATGGCTTCTGCTGTGGATAACAAGAACTAAAAGGCATAAAGTTAAGGCAGAAGTGCTGGGGATGCTGTGTACACGTGTGTGTTACTCTGATTATTTCAGTTCTCGCAATCCCTAGCCAAAGAGTAAAGTTGACATGGGCTGCAAATATATTCTGCATTACACTTTATTTACATATATTCAGGGATTTGACACTTGCAGCTGCTCACACGGACATGTATGTCTCTTCACCCACTAAAACCTCCACGTTTTAGTATCTCTTGTAAAGTCTGGGCTCTATCTGAAAAGCTATAGCCATGATAAACACATAGATGCGATATAGATAGAGATAATTCATTCCATGGCAAACACTTCTTTTGAGGCAACATTAGGTAATTTACAGAAGATGTAGAGTCTAGATAGAATACATCTCTCTGAAGCTATGAAATTGCAATAGATATGCTTACACCGCCTGGTAAGCTTCTAAAATGAAAGGTCCTAGAGTCCAAGTGATGCGTATATTCATGCTGTCCTTTTGGGAGAGGCAGGGGTAGGGAGAAAACCTGAGGAGTTATCAGCATAGTGGGGGAGGGAGCCAAGGCAGTCTGCTTCCCAAAAGCAATTTGCAAGGGAAAAACAAAACAAAACAAAACAAAAAAACCACAAAAACCTGAGCACGTGAAAATCCATATTTCAAAGGTTAACTAATGTAATGAGCACTCCAAAAGGGCAGAGCAAGGCGGGGAGCAAAGCACATTTCGCCATTGCACGGGTCCCTCGCTCTTTAGTGAGTTTGGACTAAGATCAGATGTTCGTGGAATTGCTGCCTCTTGTTTAATTTTTCAGTTCACTGGACAGTGACCTGATAAACTGGTGACTAAATATAGCCACTGTAAAGGTGTACTGGAACCACTGAGCCCATGTGTTGGGCCAAGAGGAAAATGCCACTCATGAAATCTGTCTGGTGGCACTGCTTTACTTGTTGTTGTTGTTTTCTTTTTCATTTATTTATTTATTTGTTACTTTTTCTTGATGCTTCACTAGAACGACATTGCAGAACATCATGCATGAAACAAGTGATATGTCTATGTATAACACGGGGGTGGGGAGGGATTTGGGGTTTGTCTACCAGAGCTGCCTCTGAGACTCCAAATGAGTCTTTTCCCTTAGAATCAATATCAATCAGCCTCCCCCCTCCTGCGACTAATAGCAATGAAAGCAGGAGTGGGCCGCTAACTCTTTTATAACTATTTCTGTGCCGTTTTCAAACTACTTGAAACTGCCTTTATGAGCTGTATAAAGTGCCTAACTAAAATAATAGAGAAATAGGAATACATCTCACTTTCTGATTCCCTGAAGTAAAGCCACTCAAAATAATTTGTTTATACTGTAGACTATATACAAGGCGAACAAAGCAATGTGTATGTCTAAAATCGACATGCCTTTTAGTTTTTAGCTGTTATGGAGCTTTTATTGTGGGGGTCTGGTCTGGCAATAGGAAATGATCTGTAATAAAAACAGTGAAACACGGTTGTGTCTATTCCATACAGTGAGGTTATAAAATTGGCAATTGCCCAGTAGTTAGCACTTTGTAATATATTAGGATACCCGATCTTATTGTTTAGCAGCTCCAGACGACTCAAATATCCGCTCAACCCTAATGGTTTGATTCTCCAGCTATGTTGCAAATAAACAGGGTTTTTATGACTTAACTGACATGTATTATAACTACCTAAATAGCTGGCATATGTGCATAATAGAACCCTATTATTTGCCGAATTGGTTTTGTAATTGATTGAGTGGAAATAGGAGACTGTGGAGCAGTATCTACTCGATGAGGGTATGTAATCAATTAGTTTTCTCCCCTGAAAGATGCCCGCTGGACTGTCAGGATTCTACCACCAGCAACTCTCCTAATTTTGGAGTGTATTTTCTATAGAAAGGCATGTTGCAGTGATTCCGAAAGGAAGCAGCAGTAGCAGCTGTCAGCTCTTATTAACTCCTGCATAAACCATACCTTAAGTACGGTTTGTTATCAATTACTTGCAGAAATGAAACAACTGGGGAAAATGCAGCGAGGCTCCCTATAAATTAAAGCGATTGGCTGATTGATTAGAGCATCTGCTGTAAATCATCACACTTACCCACAATTATGAGGGAGCTATTTCAGTTCATTCGTAAACAAAATTTGGTCACGGGGGAAATGCGCTCATTTCTGGTTTAGCCAGTTTTTGTTGTTGTTATTTATTTCTGAGTATATATGGTTGCTGCTATAGGAATTTGTTTGTTATAATCCCCTTGGTAACTTTCAAAGTAACCTCACTGGTTTCTCAGAGAAAATAAATACTTTTTTTTTTTTTTTTATCGTGGACAGAATATCATGTTTTAATTTTGCTTAGTTTTGTTTTATTGTTTTCTTTTGATCTTTTTCCCCCATAACTGCCTTCATAGGTGTTACCTATATCCGTAGTTACACATAACTACCTAAATATGTGTTACAGTAACTAGATCAGCTTTATTTAGGGGCAGGAGAGTTCCTATTACTTCACGGACAGCACAATATGATCAAGGTGGAGAATGCCACGGTTAGACTAGATTTCTGGTGGATTTTTTTTTCTGGTGTTCTTTTTTCTGAAAAAAAAAAAAAAGACTCATTTTATTTCATAAACCAGAGTTAATAAAAACACAAAGCAATAACAGAGCTATCTTCTGGTTGCTGTATCCTCCAGCCTTGATACTTATTTAAGACAGCAACTCCCTTCGTGTAGTGAATTTATTCCTGGCTCAGCTTAGCAGTAATGGAAACATTAGCAAAAAAAAGTAAATTTTCCTTTTTTTTTCCCCTCCAGAAAGGCGCTGTCCGTTGTACAAAAGGCATCGGGGGGCTCTGGGTGAGACACAGGCTCAAACCCGAAAGTTGCCAGGTGCTTGCCAATATGTATTTTATTTCCCAATGATCAAACCCTGCATAGAGGCTGTACTGTACCACCCTTCTCTCCATCCATCATTCATGGAGCAGTTTCCTAGAGGTTGGGGGAGCAGCACCCTTTAGGTTGCTGGAGGTAGCCAGAGACTCAAAATTCCCTTTCATTTTGCTGTTCTGTGCATGTCAGAGAGACTTATCCAATGCTCCTTCATGATATGATGGTTTCTCTCTCCCCTCTCTCCCTTTTCTTTTTCCAGTTCCCGTTCCTCCAAAATCTGTTACTTCTTTGATGATGAACAAAGATGGCTTCCTGGGTGGAATTTCAGTCAATACTGGAGAGGTGTTTTGCTCTGTACCTGGCCGCTTGTCTTTGCTTAGTTCAACTTCAAAGTATAAAGTAACTGTAGGAGAAGTTCAAAGACGCCTTTCTCCTCCAGAGTGTCTGAATGCATCCCTTCTAGGAGGAGTACTTAGAAGGTAAGAGGCTGGAGCACGTGTGTGAATATGCCCATGTGTGGGCATCCGTGCATGCACCAGAAATATTTGGTCAACAGTAAAGATGATTGCAAGTACTCACTGATCTTATTGCCATAGTTTGTGTGTGTCACATTCAGGGTTAGGTGAAAATATGCTGTATTCAGACATTGAGATGAACATATGGAGACTAGAGAAAGATGTGGCCTAGTGAGCTTTCTATCAAAAAATCTGGAACTTGTCTCAGTTCCAGAATGAAGGAACTGAGCCAAGAAGATTTTCACTCTTGTACATGCGCACACTTTCTACCTTTTCTTCTTCTTACAGTTCTCTCTTAGAAAACTGTCAAAATAAAATGTGACGATGGCCATGTTGCAGTTAGACATTGCATGATGAACCATATGTATTTCAGGACCTGATGTATTTCTAGGGATTTCCTAGGTAAATCCATGAGGCTACCTTTATATGGCTATAACGACAAGGCAATTAACATGGTGCTACACAAGACATTATTTAAATTGGCAGAGGATAAATAGGCAACCTGTAATTTATGTAAGTAGCTGACTAAAGAAAACCGGCAACAGATAGCTTTGAAAGTCAGAAACTTAGTGCTTCATCTAGAGAAAGTTGCTAGAGGAATTATTCACAGTTGATGCTGAAGCCTTTGCTATTCAACATTCGTGCAAATCGCCCACTAATGTCCTGGTGGATTTTGCTGAAGACCTCAAAATAGTTGATGTTATTGGTACTGAGGAAAATAAAGACCAAGGGATGACCTGGAGGTCTGGATACCACTCCATCATAGCAAGTGGGAGGTTGTGCATTTAGGTACCAGCAACAAGAATTACAGCTCTGAGGTCATCAGCTGGAAAAACGGGCAGAGAGAAAGGCTTTTATCTTTTTGGCAGTGTCTGAAGGGCTGTGAATTGTCAGAATTGCGTGTCTGGAAGAAAGGTGGGATAAGACTCTAAGTCCAGTCAGAACAGGCAAGAAGTCATGGCATGAGGTACCAGTTCACTTAAGCCAGTAGAAAGCTGAGAGGGGATAAGACTTCATTCTCTATGAGTGAGGTATATGCCAGACTGGAAAATAAAGCATTACTCTGAGACAGGAACAAATGCATATAAATTGACCTTGAATAGATTTCAGATCATGTTTAAAAAATTGCTAATCTTAAAGAAGAAAATAGTTTTTCCAAATCCTGCAGCAGCAATTGGGCGATGTCGACTGTAAGGTGTTTTTAAAAAGTTGTGTTTGGACTCCCTCCCCACCCACCCCCGCAAAAAAAATCCGCGATGACGTCTGGAGATGTGGGGGAAAGTCCTGCCACATGCTGTCAGTCACCCAAAAATACACGTGAGAATTAGGGTCTCCTAAAATAGATGCCATTCCACGTGAATATCTGTAATCATTGTTCAGACAGCATCTTTGCCAGGGAGAGCAGCAGAGAATTTTACTTACAGATGCCAACCTGCCTGCTCATTCTGTACAACTGTAAATGGAGCAGGGAGAACATCTGAGAGATACACTGCAGGAAATATAATTAGCAAGGTAAAGAAACATCATTATTGAACTTCAATGGATTTCTGGAGTTGGCCCAAGCCATCGTCATTGGCTGCTGCTGACTTCAGTTCCTATCTTGAATCTAAATTCTAGACAAGCTTTTGTTTCAGAGGAGGTGAAATATGGAAAGCTGCTCTCTTGTAATTCTGCCATCTAGCCCTATTTACTTTGATATAAAATAGTGGGAAGCCAGCCTGGCTTCTCTGTCGTTTCGCTAAGAGAGAGTACTGATCCTTAAATAATTTTAAGTAAAAGCTTAAAGGAGCTTAAAAGAGCTTAAAGAGGGAGAGACTCCGATTTTAGGTGCCAAAACTCTTCTTGATTTCTCAGGTGGCAAGATTTCATCCCTGGGGGTTTACATATGTATAGGCGTCCGAACAATAGCTGTGTATTTCCCACCTATAGCTCACTCATCCTTTTATTGTCGTTATCAGTAACCTCCGACAGGCATTCAAATCTTCCTCCAGGCAATCAGTTCCCTCTGTATAACGCACCGTGCCTTCAGGTGAGCTGTTCCTCTTAGCATCGCCTTTCCGCACCAGAACACACTCAGACACACAAGCGCAAAAATGGGTTAATAAATATTTTCCTCCTTTTCTATTTTATCCACAGGCTCACATATTCTCCCATTGAGCCTTCCAGATATTCCCCCGCCTCGCTCTTCTTCCAATCCAGGCTTTTTCCTGGAATAACCGAGGATTTAATTCTCCTCTTACCTTTCTGCCCATCTCCTCACTCCATCTTAATACCAGCTAGTATCATACAGAGGGAACCCATTCCCTCTCTAGATCAGAATGCTGTACGTTAATTATTGCTATCTGGCATTATTTGATTTCCCTTGATAAAATAGGGTGGAAGGTGGGTTCATTCCTACTCCCACCCCCAGTATAAATGAAGAAAATCTCAACAAACCCGAGCAGAAATCAGCGCACCCGAGGTCGAGAGGAAACCCTTCTAGGTTTCAGTGACTGCACAGACTAAATGTTTCTTCCAGGAACACCGCGGGGTTAATCACGATGTTAATTTCTTTGCAATTCTAGAGCCAAATCGAAAAACGGGGGGAGATCTTTGCGAGAAAGGCTAGAAAAAATCGGTTTGAATTTACCAGCCGGGAGGCGTAAGGCCGCAAATGTCACTTTACTCACCTCTCTGGTGGAAGGTAAGCCGGGGGTCGCAGCTTCCTTCACCCACCTGCCTGCTCTGAACTCGTGTTTGACATCTGACGAATAAAAAAAACAAAAACAACAAAAAAAAAAAACCAAAAAACAAAACCCCCAAACCCAAGTCACTTCGGGATCAGATGGGAAAACCCTGTAGAAGTAAAATTCAGGATGGGTTAGGATGAACACGGATAAGGATCTCATTCCCCAAAATCAACTCACAGGCTGCAGGGGCATTGGTCCCTCTTGGTGGCAAGAATGAGATTGTGTGTGTGTGTAAGTGTATGTGTGCATATATGTGATGCTGCAGGGCAGTCCCATCCCTCACTGCTATTAATTTCCAGCCTGTGCTCTCCAACTCCACATCTATTCCATCCTCCCGCTAATTCACTCCTCCCGAGCTTGTTTATGGCCCCTACAGGACGCTCAGTGAAGGAAAAGTAATACAGAATTTATTTATTTTAAAAGAAATAAGAGGAATATCAGAGTTGCAGAGTGTTGTTTACCTTAAGGTGTCTAGAACTGAGCAAAGAGAGAAGCTGTGTCTGAGGAAGGAGAGAGGGGAGATGAGGTTGCACCTCATCTTAAATCAGCGAATGTCGTGTTGGATGTCGGCGTGTTGACTTGATTTACTGTTACGGTATTGAAAAGTAAAATTTAGAGTTACTAATATGTTTAGGATATGTAAGTGTTTATGCTAACAGAAGTTGGACCTTCTCCAAAAAAACATAACCGGAATAGTATGGATGCAATTATGAATAACATGTATCTGCATTACACATACCCACCGAGAGTCGTTTAAATAATCCACTTATCTCTGCAGCATATAAGCATGCCTAAACATTTGAGCTGGATAGTAACTTTTCGACTCTTTTGATGGAGTTTTGTGAGCGATAAGACGTTTCCTCATGCAGAGAGGGTTTGCAAAAAGTCGGGTGCTGGTAGAAAAGAGCTCCCATGTAAGGCTGTGCAAAGCTCAGGTTTAGGGTATAGAGTCGCTCTGGAGGAGAGGTGAAGTATCTCGGGTGCGACAACGAGGATTAGCTCAGCTTCACTCTCTTCCCTGCCTGTGTGGAGATCGGTGCATCCTTCTCCCAGCAAAATCAGCTCCTTCCCGAAGCCGGCTTGAGGTTCAGAAACCTGTGCGGTTGTAGAGTGATGCAAAAAAATATGTTAAGTGTGTAGTAAGGTGCGCGTTCCCCTGATTTCTTTACAAATCAACAGTTTCTCTTGAGAGCTCCCTCCTTTTGGGAGAAGCTGGGCATGATGGAGATTTATTTTCTTTTCTTCCACTAGCCAGGCTCTAGTGTTGCTGTTATTGCATCCCGGAGAGCAGAACCGCCCCGGCCGGGGTCATGGCTAGGATGCCCAGGCGACCCCCGGTGGGAGAGGGGGGCTGGTGGCGGATGTCGGGGTGCCCAACCTGTCATCAACGAGTCAGTGGTGAGCGAGAAGCCCCGGGAAGCAGGAGATGAAGTTGGAAAGCAATTCCCGATTGTTAAAAATAAGGTGGTCCTGGTGTTAGTAGACATACCTGGTTTGCGTGTTGGAAATCTTCCTCCACTGTCCCTCAGGCGGTGCTTTAGAGGGTTTAATGCTTATTCTAGAGGGGTTGAGCTATAATCTGGTGGAATCCCCGTAGAGTCTGAGGTTGTTCCCCCTTCCTCTTCTCCTTTCTGCAGCTACTGTCTTCTTCTTGAGGCATGAAGTACATCAGTAGAAGTTGGATGACACGAAATTCTGGAGGCAAGAAACCGAAACCAGACAGGCAGGAAAAGTGACAGAATTAGAACTAGAGTAATTATTCTTTTTCACAGAAAAAGGTGGCCATTGTTTTCTCTCTTTCTACCAGGATGAGTTCCTGTTGTGGAATGGTCAGTTAAGAAAGCAGATTAATAGTTTCCATCGGGAGAAACTCAGTCATCTCAATCATTTTCGAGATGTGGCAATGATTGTGATGATGGTGCAAGTGCTCGTTTAAACAAGTGTGTATATAATGTTCCACAATGAATTTACATTAATACTAACTTTATGTCCACAGCTGTAAAATTTTCGACAATGATCTGCTGTATTGAATTAGGAATGGTTTATCTGCTTTTAAGAAAAGTTTGGGTCCTTCTGTCCTTCGGGACTTAACTGATTTTCCCTCTCTTTATTTTTTTTTTCCCAGTTAATTTGAAAGTGTGTGTGTGTAAGGTGAGAGGGGTGTGTGTAGGGGTGTGCGTGTGCTTTTCCCACAGTTCTGCACAATCAACCACATGGATACACGCCATCACAATTGCATTGTAGCAAAACCAAATCTCATCAGCTGAAAAATCTGTCCCATCGTCTTACTTCAGCCCCCAACACAGGGCTTGTGGAGGGAAAACATGTACCTGGCGCCTGTCCCCAAGGCACAAGGGGTGTTAGAGGTCTGAAGGGCCGGTCCCTCCCCGGGGAGCGGTGGGCAGGAGGCGGCTGCCACCGGTGCCTGAGCTAATGCCCCGCTCCTTTCCTCCAGGTGAGGCCGTTCATTTAGCCCGGGATTTTGGGTACATCTGCGAAACCGAGTTCCCAGCCAAAGCTGTTTCTGAGTACTTGAACAGACAGCACACGGACCCCAGCGACCTCCACTCCAGGAAAAACATGCTGCTTGCTACAAAGTGAGTGCTAGTTAACTATCCTCTTTCTGTCCCGCCTCTCCACCAAATCCTCCCTTCCTCCTTAACCCCTCAGAGGTCGTTCTGAAAGGAGACATTTTACAGTCCTTAAGTAAGCTCCAGTCCCCAGATTACAGGGAGGAAGGATGCTTGCGTGGTCCTGTGGGCAGGGTAGACCCTATAACTCCTGCATCCATTTGCAGTGGGGTTTCTGCCAACACACCCTAGAGAAGGATATAGGTGACTATCCCTGCTCCTGCTCATAATTTCCAAACCACCGCCAGTTAAAAGATCTTTATGGAAAGGGGGCAGAAAATTTCTATTTTGCTCCCTCAGTGTGTCTGTCTGCCCCTCCTGCTGCTTACACACACCCGTTTGTCTGCTACCAAATTGCAAAGTCTTTTGCATAGGGTTTAATGAAAAATAATAATAAGAATAATTAAAAAAAAAAAGATGAAAAATTTAAGGGCTCCCCCACAATGTACTGCTGTTGATCTTTGGTTTGATTTCCCCATTCCATGTCCCTCCCTTGGGTCTTTCTTGGTGGCTGTGCTGTATGTGATGATTTACACTTGGCTGTGCCTCCCAGGCTACTTAACTGGGTGCTTCATAATTTGCTCGAGTCCCCAGAGGTGGGTGCTATATGTCTTCACACATCTTTGTCTACCCGGCAAAAAAAAAAAAAAAAAAAAAAAGGCGGGGGGGGGGGAAGGAAAGAAAAAGAGAAAAAACCACACCAGGCTAAACAGCTCTCATGATGTATTTCATGCTCTGGGATGTGGCTTGCCTCCGATGACAGTGTAATTTAAAGAAATATATGGAGGGTTGAAAAATCATTTGCTCAAATTTGTCCAGATGTTTTTTAGACGTGATTGGAATTTGATTGCCCTTTTCTGCAGGGTCAGAAGATATTAATGTCCCAGAACTTTAATTGCTCACAGACCCTGCTTTGCTCTTTGAAGATGTAAAATGTTGGACTCATTACTGTTTGCTCTCCAAATTCAAAGTTTCCTCTCTTGCACTTTCTTAATGGATAATACACATAGAAGCAGACCTTTATCTTTCCACACCCTCTGAAACCTTTAACCCACTGGGAATTTCAGAGAATTTCAGAGGATGAGAGCTGAACGTATTTTTTAAGGGTTTCTTTTTTCCTTTTAAAAAAAAAAAAAATAAAATTCTGGCCCTTTTTTCTCCAGTCCCTTGGTAGACACCTGTCTCAAAGAAATTATTCCTTTGGGAACCTCACCAGCCCTCAGGGTTTCTGCATTGCCTGGGCACCTGTTGACCTGAAGGCCTTTTGGACCAGAGCAGTGCAAAAGAAAGTGTGTAGGTGGGAATTCAGTAGAAAAATCAAATCTGATTTTTCAAAGGTGCAGGCAAACAAACAGCCAGATGTCAACTCTGATGTGTTAATTGGGGTGTCACCCCCCGGATATAAAACTTGACATGCTTGCTTTGCTCCTCATGCAATGAATAAGCCAACACAGAGTCCCAGAGTCCTGATCTCTTTTGACAAGTTGGCCCAGCCTAAGGAGGCTCAGAGGTGACTCTGTTTTAGCCCTTTCCTGCACTGTGTCCCTGTGGTATGTAGCTCTCGGTGCACAGCTGTACTTTCCTCCAAGAACAGCACTGGTGGGAGCTGCCCGGCCTCCAGGAAGATCGTGGTTGGCAGACCCATTGCACAACTCTTTTTTTTTGGTCCTAATTATTTCTAAAGCCACCAAGCAAACTGATTCAGAAGCACCCTTGAAGCAACACAGTGCTTCAGAAACATCCTTGTGGCTGTCAGGGAGAACTCTATCTCCAGACCTGGTATTGTCCTGCAGTTGCAGAAAGCTTTCTCCTGAAGAACATCATTCTGAGCAGATGCTAGCTCACCGTGGCTGGTCCCTGAGCAGTCCTAGGGCAAAGGAAGGTGACAAAAGTGACCTATCCTGGGTCTTGGCATCAGCTTTTGCCTGAACCTGCTCCTTCCTTCAACCTTGGTTGTCTTGGAGAAGTGTGGGATGAGCCTAACCACCACTTTTCTCTTTTCCTTTCTTTATCTTTCTTTTTTCTGTACAGGCAACTTTGTAAAGAATTTACAGATCTCTTGGCCCAGGACAGGACACCCATTGGAAACAGCCGGCCCACCCCTATATTGGAACCGGGCATTCAGAGCTGCTTGACTCACTTCAGCCTCATCACTCACGGCTTTGGGGCCCCCGCTATCTGTGCTGCCCTCACGGCCCTTCAAAACTACCTGACTGAAGCTCTCAAAGGCATGGACAAGATGTTCTTGAACAACAACACTGCTAACAGGCACACATCTGGCGAAGGACCAGGTAGTAAAACTGGAGACAAGGAAGAGAAACACAGAAAATGAGAGAAAGGGAGAGGAAAAAATAAAGAGAAAGAAAGAAAGAAAGGAAAAGAAAAAAGTAAAATAAAAAAAAGGAGAAAAGAGAGAGATAACCTTTTAAAATAAAACCGTCTTAATTTTAGCTTTAAAAATACTGGATTGGGCTTTGGAAGAATTCTATTAGGTAGGACAAAATAATAATAATAATAAAAAATAATAATAATTAAAGAAAGACAATAATTTAAGATCAGAGGAGCACAATGGCGCAAGACCAGTGGTTCAGAGTCTCTTGCCAGGAACATATGAAGACAACCACCAGGATTTTTTCCCCACTTCTGTTCCTTTATAGTTTTTAAATAATGATTTGGAGGGAGGGAAGTAAAATAATAATTAATAATAATAATAAAAGAAAAAAATGAATAACTTATTGGAAGAAATTGGAGAAACATTTTTGGTGTCAGTGCTTTGATTTCTTGAGCTGCACGGTCTGTCTTGCTATTACTTTTATTTTATTCTTTTATCTTGTTTGTTGTTGTTGTTTTTCTGAACATCTTGTCTCCACCCTACCTAACATGTTCTTCCAGATCATTCCTTTCTGAGAAAACCCATAGTTTCATTCCTCTCAACTCTTCCCATCTCATCTCACCACCCTGGTTCTGTCTAGACTAGGAAAGGAAGGAAGGTGAGCGCACAGACCTTTCATGAAGCCATCTACCCCAGCCAGTTCAAGCTGCATTCATGGCAGCATCTTAAGGTTAGATGTCATTAGATGGGACATTTCAAGTCATTGTAGCTTACCGGAATTATCTAACTCTATTTTTCAAGAACTTTTTTCTTTTTCCTGGTCTAGACAGACTCTCTGTTTAGATTGCCAGCGTTTACAGGTGTGTATGGGCGCGTGTGTACCTATGTGTGTGCATGTGCATATGCATATGCACGCACATAACTTGGTAGGGATGCGTGTGTATCCTGTGTATGTTTGTATATATATATGGATATATATGGGTATATACATATATATAATATGTGTGTATAGCCACACATATTCATGCATGCAAACATACCTTTGTAACTTAGTACTTGTCTATGATGGTAAAATGCTTTGTCTACGATGCGTTGCAGAATTTGAAATTAAGGTCAGCTCTCTCTGATTTCTTAATTTTCTGAGATGTCCTCTTTTTCTCTAGGAAGTTTTATATTCCTAACTATGCCAATGTTTCAGTCCTTAATTTCCTTGAGTACTGTGTGTGAGAGATGTCTTCCACCCATTTTTAAAGAACTGTTAACAACAACAAAAAATGAGTGATATGAGTATGTAATTCTTTCTCAGGTGTATGCACTATTTTATTTTCTTCTGTTTCCTAAAGCTTTGCCCGCTTGGCTTATGAGCTTCTTCAAAGAGGACTAGAGATCCCTACACAATATATCAGGTACAGAGAAAAAAAATCCACAATTCTGATATTCTGATACTTTTCTTTCTTTCTTTTTTTTTTTTTTTTCCAATCAAAGCCAGTTGTTTCTGAATTCTGTAGGTGCACTTCTTTAAAGAAGCTCAAAGGGAATAATTTGAATGAGATAAAAATATAAGTTGAAATCAAGGTGTAATATCACAAAGAAAATAAGAGCTGTGTCGAGTGTTACCATGCTTGCTTGGCATTAGGGTTTTGCACCCAGGGAGGAATGGGTTGCCATGTGAGCTGGCTCCTCGTGATGGGAGTGGGGAGGGCTTGCCAGGGAATATCCTGATTTCTGAGCTCAGTCTGAGAAAATCTGTTTCTCTTAGAAAGCTTTAAAAAAAAAATAGTCTTGTGACTCTTGCTTTAGAACAAGTTGGTGTGGTAGGGGAAAAAAACTTCTTACTGACAATGTTTTTCTTGGTGGTTTGGTGTCTGACAGGATGTCTTATGCATATGATTGGGGGGGTAGAGAGGGAGTCTGATTTCTTTCCCTTTTTTTTTTTTTTTAACATACATTTCTTTGTCTCCTATGGTAAAAATGATGCTGAAGTGTAAGGATCTGATTTTCTGTTCGGATTCTGCCACATTGGGTAATTGCATATGTGTTTCTCAGTGGGGTAGGGTTCACGCACTAACACATCTTTTTGCTTATGTCAGAACAGTTACTAAGTGTGGGTAAATCTCCTGGAGTTTATGGTAAAATTCCAGTGGGGTCAGGCCTCCTCCTAGGATCCCTGTCAAAGCTGCAGGAACCAATCCCACCAGCCTAAGCAGGCACACCTGAACTCGAAACAAGGCAGACAGAGAAACAAAAGAGAAGCCTTAGCCTTGTTTTAGTTTCTACATACCTTCCAAAGTGGATGGTGGGGGACAAATAATTCAGCAGTACTCTCAACATCCCCCAACAATATTTTCTTAAAACAAAAAGGCAAATGAGCCTTTTGATTGACACTCTCAGTACCCTTAGCTACCTGAGAAATGACTACAGCTGAGGGCCTGCTCTGCTTTTCAAATCTTTGTGCAGCAAGCGAAAGTCTCTTGGCTCTTGTTCCCTACCTGTGAGTTGGGCACACATACGGCAATAGAAACCCAGGAATCCTCCAGACTCCAGGAGCCCTAACCCCTTTGGAGCTGCTCCTCATTCATCTACTTTTTGTTCTTCTGGGGCAGAGTGCTATAGGGAATCTCATGTGACAAAAGGGGGAAACTGAGGCAGACAGCCTTCTCCATGGGCTGCTGGGATGTGTTGGAAGTAATCTTCAACCCTAGCAGGTCCATGGCAGTGGGTTTCACATGTGGCATGTCCTGCGGATGTCACTGTGTAAAGTGTAGATTCCTGAGATATGTAGATCTCATGGATTCCACACTGGTAGTCTGGGGACGCCCAGACTGAAAAGCTGCTTTCAGGCAGCCTCTGGTCCTCCAAAGCCTACCCATTGCCAATCACACACAGTTTCAGCAGGATCCTGGGGAAGGACAATCCAAGCTGCTGTGCAGAGAATGCCTCAGCAGGGATGTGCTGGAAAAGAAAGGGGTATATGCATGTGTGTGTATCTGGGGAGAAATGAATGGCACCACCTGAAAGCACATCTCCCTTCTCTACCCAACCGGAATATTCTGTTTACTGAAACAGAGCACAAAGCGTTGAATGTTGCTTTGCCTGCCCTCTGCAAAAACCTTTGTGAGGAGCACATGGGTCCAGCCACCCCAGTGGGGTATCTGGGAGTGAGGAGACCTCAGGTTAGCTCTCAGCCTTCTGCCTCCCTAGTTGTACATGCAGGGACCTGGGGACCTGCTCCATCTCAACCCAGATCTTCCAGCTGAAAGCTTTGGCAGTGAGGTTGGGAATGGTCCTTCACTATCTTTTGGGTGGATGTTGGGGATGCTCCTTTTAACTGCAGAAGACAGTATCCCACCACCACTGTGGGTTAATGAGAAGAGGGACGCACTTGCAACTTCTTGCGGAAAGACCTGCACATGCATGTGTGAGCGCCTGATAACGCTGCTGAAATCTGCCTTAGACACAGGTTGGTCACCTGCACCAGGACCTAAACCTTGAGAAGGCTGAGGGAAGAGTTTCACTTGACTCCTGGCAACTTTGGATTTGCCCTTTGTGCCTTCTAAACACCATTCCAAATGCCAGGCTGTGCTTTGCTCAGGTGAAGTAAAGTCAAATGTAAAATCCCCGTTGATTTCAGTGGGATATCCATGACTTGTCCCTCAGAGTATGCAGAAAAAAACCCACAAGGTTTCTGATTTAAATGTAAACAGGAAGAAAACATGGCATAGGAGTATATTCATCTCTGTCCTTCCCCCTAGCCTACTGCTGGTCCCTGAGGGAATTGCCCATTTCTCAGTGGCTCCTACCATTTCGAGGGGACTGAGGTCCCCTCAAAACAAAACTCAGTCTCCCACTGGAAAACATTTTCCTGCTCCCCTCCACTTTCCCAGCCCGAATACTTGTCAGGCTAGGCACCTCAGACGTTTATCTGGTAACTGAGTTATTAAAAGATTTGGTTTCCTTGGGATCATAAATCAATAAACAGGAGGATTAACACGGCAGCTTTGCTTTTTAACTCAAGGGAAATATCTGAGGAGAGACCGTGAAAAGTTTGTTTTCAAACCAAACAGGTGGGTTACTGTAAATTTTATTTCATTCTTAGTTTTGTTTTTGTTTTTTTTTAATAACAATTCTTTGTTTTCTGTTAGGAAGGTCTTTGTTTTTGTACTCTCCCTGACTTTTTTATTCGCCTGGTTGGTATTCACACAAGATGTGAAGGAAACAAGAAGCCAATTTTATGGGAATCCTTTTACAACCCGATAATTTCTTTAAGATCGGGTTGTGTCTTGTCCCACCTAATAGAAATTCTCTGTGAGAAGCTGTTTTAAGTCCCTTTGCATCCCAGACCAACCTCTCCCAAAAATCCCTAAATTTACATTTGGGATTGGGAGGGGGAGGGGGAAGGATGGTTTTAAGACCTTTAGCTATGCCCAAAGGGCTTATTGACTTCCCCTGCTCATCCCTTTCTGACCAGTTTATCACGCAGACTTATTTGGCTCTGTTTTAACATGTTTCTTGGAGAATTTGGTGCTCATTTCAGCTGCCACAAGCATTGCCAGATTGATCCGGCCAAACTCCTGCTCCCCTTCATCTTCCCTGTGTGTGAGAGGCTGTAAGCTTTTTACAAATAGTATATTTTCTTATACAAAGGGAGAAAGTAAAAGCATATATCCCCAAACACACTGGCAAATGCCTGAACATTTTGAGAGAGATGAAACATTGTGTGCTAGCAAGAAATAAAGGAAAAAAAAACAAACCAAACAAATACAAAGCTTTGAAAAAGAGAGTGAGAAACTGGAAAGATAAAAGAAAAAACTAATAATTCTCCTTTTATGCCCCAAATGATCCCTTTCACCTCCTCTTCTTGAAAAATCTGACCATGCAGTGAGAAATATCAGTTTATTGACTCTTCCTGAGAAGAAATGTGGAGAGGCATTCAGTATTGAGTTTGTATATATTTATTTATGCTTAATTTAATGGGAATGTGTAAATATGGCGAGCAAGTAGTTTTTGGGTTATTTATCTGTGAATCTATACCTCTGTGAATGGGTGGGGGAATTTAAAACAAAAAGTAAAATAAATAATTAAAAAAAAACAAAAAAGAAAAAAAACAAAACCAACAAAAAAAAAAAAATCCCGCTTGACTAGATAGTATCCTATCTGAATCTTTTCTGTTCTTTATAGACAAGCTGTTATGGTAATGGGTAGAAATTGGTTTCTTGTCCAGTGATGACCTGATTTACATAAATAATAAGAATAAGAATAAAAGAAAAAGAGATTGTTGTGTTTTGTTGTATTTTCCTCTTCAGTTTTTTTGAATGTTGGTGCTGCTTCGATTCTGCAGACGGATTTACTTATAACACCAAGAAGTCTATATTTTCCCAGTCTAGGCTTTGGGGAAATTCAGGACATGTCTCGACATTAAAAGAAAAAAAAAGACAAAAAAAAAAGACAATAAATATTGCTTCTCAGAAATGTGGGTATTTTATTTCTATCTGACTCAAAAGTGTCCATATTTTTAACCACTCTTACCTCCTCATTCTAAGCAGACCTACAATAAACCTCATGTCATGTTAATATGAACTTTTGCTTCATTTTGCTTTTATCAGCTGAATTAGGACTAAATCTTTTTCTTTTCAAAATATTAGCCATTAAAAGAACATTTTCTGTAAGATTTCAATATCAGAAAACTCTCCCCCTCTTCCTCTTCCCCCTCCTGTATTACTGTACTTTTCATTTATGTATATGTGGATGTGTGTACATACATACAGACATATACTCTTACATATATACTCTTATATACGTATTGGGAGTGATTGTTTTCTACCTTAGTTCTACAGCTGCAGCATCAGTAATTAGCATAAGGAAATATTCAACCCCAAACACCTTCTTCTTCCAACTCCCTTGCTCCCCCCCTTCCCCTCCATTCCCAAATCGGTTTTGTTTCGGTTTGTAATGGATGGTCCCGAAAAAGAGCTGCTTCTTTGGGATCCGAATCCCCAGGGCTGACCTGGAGCCATTCCAGAGTGACTCGGGATTTATCCTGCGGTTGGATGTAGGAAGTGGGGGGCAGATTAGGGCCTCAGGATTTATGTTGTCAGTGTTCTCATATATATTTTGTATGTCTAATATGCTACATATTACTATGTATAACAGATAATAGATTATACATGAGATTTACTATACAATCTACATAATATATAATATACATTATATTATATATTATTATACACAATATTTTCCTTATATTATATTTTATATACGTATATATTTACCTGTAAATTGGAGGCTGGAGAGGACTGTAAATTTAACCCTCGGCACAGTCACCCTGAAAACAAACACCCACGTGTGGTGCTCTAACTGACAGCCCTGAGGCTGGAAACCGGTTTAAAGAATCGCTTTTACTGCCGAGAATTATTTGAGTGAAATACCCGCTCTGGAGACTTGTTTGGGTAGGGTTTTATCTGTCAGTTTTTTGGGAGAGAGGTGGTTTAAGAGGGCAAGGGGAGAGATGCAGGACCGGTAACAGGCGGTGAATCGTTTTTTACAACTTAATATTTCTCTTGGAGGGGGTGGGGACTTAACAAAATAGAAATTCATCCCCACCTCCATCTCCCAAACTACCTCCCTTCTCCCTCTCCTTCCAGCTTGGACTACGGGAGCCGTCTCAGCTGATCGCCCAAGGTGTCCAAAATAAATCATAATAATAATGATAATAAAAACCAAACCAAAACACTGCAAATGACGACCCCAAAGTCTGGTTTATGGGGAAGGTTCGTGGCTTGGCTGTCTCAGCTTCAGCCAGGCTTGGACTCAGCCGTGACCTACTTTTTCCTTGTGGTGTGCTGGCAAAAACGCCCGGAGCAAGACTGGGGGGTCCAGAATGGAGGAAGCGGGGGGGGGGGGGGGGGGGGGAGGGGAGAGGGGGAGGGGAGAGGGGGATGGTGGGGGCCAGCAGCCCCCGGGGTCCGAGAGCAGGGGAAAACCGAGATGGGGAAGCAGCGGAGCTTCGAGCAAAGGAGAAAAGGGAATTCCACCCATACCCACACCCCATTCTCCAGCCACTTCCCCTTTCCTCCTTTGTACGGGGGCTTTGCAGTGCGCGAAGTGGGGACCCCAAAGCCGCGGGCGGGTGCGGGGTTCGGGATGCCCTCGAGCGGGGAGTGCTGGGAGCACTAGCGACACTGGAGCGGATTTCCAAAAGCCAGGCTGCATGCCAGGCTGTTTTAGTTTGTTTTGTTTCTTTTGGTTTTAATCACACTGACTCTAGGATTTTTAGTAGAGCATGTGTTTTGCATGAAACCTTCCAAAACAGCTCTTGCAGTTCCCAGCGGACTCTGCGAGGGTTTTGGGGGGCACGAGGTGGGGGTCAGGAAGGTTCTCTGTTGTCCGAGATCTGTGCAACACTTATGTATAAAGGGGATTAAAAAAAACCCTCCCAACAGACCAAACACTAAGGAAAGCTCTTGTATAACTCAGCAGAAGCACCCGCTGGTGGAACTCGAGGTCTCCCTTTAAAGTAGCACCTGACGAGAAGAGGAAGGGCTCCCCCGAGCTTCCTAGGCTCCAGGCGACAGTGTCAGGGTTGCACATTCAGAGCACATATGAATGTATACTTAGAATAGAGAGCAGGTAGCTGCTTGAGAGGCTCTCTGAGTGCCCTGCCCTTCTCCCCTCCCCCCACCCAGCGGGGTTGGAACAGAGCGTCCCGGGAGACGCTCCTGCACTTCATTACTCCACGGCAGTCCTCCTTTCCTCTCTTCTTCCTTCCTTTCTCTCTTCTGTGTTTTCTCTCTCGTCTCTCCTAGTCCTTCTCTCTTAGCTTCTTCCTTAGCTACAGTTAAATACAGACGAATAGCAGCTGTCACCAGTTCATCAGGACTTACCTACCCCACCGGTCCTATGTTAGAATCTGCTCTCCCAGCCACGACCAGCAGGGAGTTTCTCTTCTGCCTTGTCCCATTCTCTTTTTCAAACTCTAGATAGTTCAAGTTTCCATTATAAAACTTCACCGTGATTTATAAAGTCATAAACATAATTTTTGTCTTTCATCCCTTTGGGGTGAACTCCATTCTTCCTTTCTTGGTTTTACTTCTCCCTCCTCCTTTTCCCTCCCCACCTGCATGGTATGGCCCACATTTATATGAGACCTCATAAATAACATCTGGTGTCCCTATGATGGAACTAGTAAAATGTCTTAAATAATCCCAGTACCAATATATTCGTCACTGGATTCCTTTGTTTGGTCTTGTCTCTCTCGTAAACAGGCATCCACACACATTTTTCCCTGTAGATGGACGTGTGTTTGTGTGTGCACAGCTGTACCAGGACGTTGTGTTACATCTCATGTCACAACTGTGTGTAGCTTCGCCTCCCCGCGCAGAGTCAGTCTCATTCACGCACCACTACTGACTTTTAGGAGTGAAGGGGAAAAAGAAATTATCCTCTTTTTTCTCTTCGGAATGAAACCCTTGAAATAGACTCCAGCTGGTGAAAAGGGCCGGTCCGGGGCAGCCAGTGAAAGGCTGCCCCGATTTCCCTTCCAGCAAGTCACCCTTCTACCTCTGAATGCTCTTTAAGAGGGAGGGGAGGAGGAATAAGAAGGAAATCTCTGGAAATTTAGGAGTTAAAAGAGTCTCTATAGTCTGTCCTTACTATAAAGACAGAAAAAAGAATAAAATCTCACGCAATTACAAAATCACCGCAATTACTTTGGAGCTTCCTCTAAACAACACTAAACGAAAGGGGTGTGCATGTGTTTGCGTGTGTATTTCTCACCCGAATTTGCAGTGACAATAATCCTTTTACTCCACCTCTGCCCCAAGTCTGCTCGGGAGGGGGCAAAGGAACCCCCTGCTCCCCCCCCCCCCCCCGAAAAAGGAAAGGGGGGGGGAGGGGGAAGGGAGGATTTAATACATGGCAATTGCAAAGCAATGTGGTACCGGGCATTATTAATACTCTTAAATAAAAAGCCTTGTGAGCGGTATCGGTGTCATCTTTTGAGAGCACGCGACTAGGATGCTGCCCTCAGGTCGAGAGGAATACCTCCTTTAGAGCAGAAAACGTTTGATTCTTCCCGGTGATAAAGCAGTCCTTGTTGAGATTTACAAAGACCATTCGGTACACTTGCAATTGCAGGGATTTTTTTTTTTTTTTTTCACTAGCTTAAAACGCTAAGGTGGATGAAATGCGTGTGGACTTTTCTCCTCCCTGTAAAAATCCATCAAGGTATCAGGGGGAGATCTTTTGCTTCCTGAAACCAGAGCTAACAATAGTTTATCTTAGTGCACGGAGCATCCTTTGCTCCTACAGAATTCCCGGTGATTTAAGGGAAAGCTGCCTGCAGCACTTGCCTAAAACTGTGAGCAGTGATCGGGGTGAGAGAAAGCCCCGATCTCCTATATACTCTGCTTTATTTCAGTACAGAGCAGATCCTGTTCTGGATGGGAAAAAGGGAGCCTGTATCCAATTCTGTATAGAAAAATCACAGTACAATAACTGGCAACAATGGGAAGGGTGTGAAAAAAATCTCAATTTTTCGGAAAAATGCTTTTCACGGAAATAGGCTGATTTTTTTAAAAAAATCTATCTCAAATTGGTGTAACTGAAGCAGGAAGGAACGAGTTGGAATATTTTAAAACGAAAAGTTCTGGATTTAATACGAACATGCGGCGGTGAATGGGGGAGATGATTTTGTTTGATGAATAAATCTTTTACCCTGCCCCAGAGAGCCGCTGTTCGTCCTCACAAAACACTCTGAATTCAGATTGCTGAGTGAAGAAGGCTGAGAAAGTGAAGGAGATTATGGCTTAAAGCCCTCCAGTCTTCTTGTGCTGGAACCTTGCTGGAGAGTTTTCCTGCCCAGCAGCTGCCGGGGGAGGCCGGGGCGGAGCAGGGACCTCCTTTTTCCTCCTCACGCTTCAAAGGTTTCTTTAAACTTTAACTTAGGAGTGACTTGAGACGAGCGAAAGTAACTGAGCAGCGACCTTTTAAAAAATATAAAGTATTATTTTACACCCACTCCTCCCGCCCTTCCTCTGGCTTGGGAAGTCGGGGCTTGCCTGGAAAGTTGTAAATAATAATCATAACTAAATAATAATTAAACCCCCCAACAAATAAAAAAATAACAAACCAAACCACCAAAAAACCCCCCACAACCCACAAGTTCGGTTACAGAGAGCTTCTCTTCTGGACAAAAGGAGATAATTATAGCAGGTTTCTCACCAGTGCAATACCCTCTACTCCCAAACCCCACACTGGGCTGAGGGTTTGCAGTTCTGGAGGACGGCTGTGAAAAGCCAAGTAGGGCTTTACCCCCTCCTCTGGCTGCAGAAATCGTGCGTGTGTGTGTATACATATGCGTACTTGTGTTACTGACCTGCGGGAAATATTTTACAGCTACTTATCTCTCCCGGTGCAGCAAATGAAAGCTACAGGACTACTTTCTGCT